CAAAAAAGGAAAAAGGGTTGGGAATATAGTGCAGTGCAAAGGCCCTCAAGCCTAGTACCAAAAAAAAAAAAAAAGATAAAACACATAAAATACTTGTTCTAGCCCAATAGGGATCATTTGACTTTGCACGGTAACTGACCTTAATTTAGATTTATTCCTAAATTGCCTCTTCTATAGTTACTTATAAGGCCTAGGTAAAGTAATGGTCATGGACATAGAACTAGTTGGTTTGTGGGTCAGGACTTCAGAACCTCCAGACCTGTAGTCCACTGTTCTATGTTGACACCACATTGCTATCTGAGAAGGGAGTTTCAAGCACTGGCTCAAAGTCAGGTGACTGGGGTTCTGTTCTCACCATGTGACCATGAGACAGTTCCCCCAATGCCTGTCATTACCTACCTTGGATATATAATGTATTGAAAGTTCTTTGATTAAAGATACCATATAAATGATTGATATAACTCATATGTGGAAAACAAACTTGTAAACATCCTCTTTTGTGCTGAGGACTGAACCCAGAGTCTCACACATGCTAGGCAAGGGCTCTTCCCTTGATTTCTATCTCTAGCTCTTTTTTCTTTTTTGAGCTAGGGCTCTCAGTTAGTTTCGTAGGCTAGCCTTGAACATTTTTTGGTTTTAGTTTTTTGGTTTTTTTGAGGGGGGGGTTGTAAACAAGAGGTTTATTTTGGCTCATATTTTTAGTCCATAGTTGACTAGCTCCAAGGCGGGAAGGCATGGCTCAATATCTGACAAAGGAAAGCTGCTCACATGGCAACCAAGAAGTAGAGAGTGAAGGAAGGAGCCAGACAGGAAGACATACCCTTACAGGTCATATTCACATTGACCTCCCTCCCCGGACCAGGCCCCACCACCTAACAAGTCAGCTATAGCTCCCCACAATTCACCCTTCGAAGAGCCCCAGTAGGAGCAAGAGGCTTGGGGGGGGGGGCCACACTCAATCGGTACCATAACATTCCTCCCCTGGCCCCTCGAAGACTCATATGTATCTTTTATGCAAAACGCATTTAGTACATATCTAAGAATTGCCAAAGTCCTGACAGTTTCAGCATTGCTGAAAAGCCCAAGTCCAAAACCTTCTCTGACACTTAAGGCAAAGTCTTATCTGTGAGCCCCTGTAAAAAATCAAAAGAAAATTTAACATTGTTAATATACAAAGGCAGAGGGTAAACATTCCTATTCCAAAAAGGGGAAAGAGGAGAATAAAAACCAATGCATCTGAAGCAAGACCAAAACCCAGGAGGAGAAACATTAAATTCTGTAGTTCCATGTCCAGGACCCATGGCAAGGTATGATGCTATGATTTTGAAAAGGTTTGGGTAGCCCTATTCCTATGGGATTCCTGGTGGTTTTAGCCTCCATGGCTTCTCTGTTGGGCTAGCTTTAGTCACTCCTTGCAGCTTTCCTCAGACATTCCATGTTCTTGGTTTCTCTACTTTTTTCTCTATTTTTCTGGGGTCTCTCTGCACTTTCAGTTTTACTCACAACTTCACATACTGCCCTCTCAGGGGCACACTGTCTTGACTCCCAGGCCTTCTTCTGAAATCTGGGTAGAAACCTCCTTGATCCCGTAACCCTTGCATCCAGCATGCCTGTAAAACCAGTACCACATGGTATTGATACCACATGGATAACACCAAGGCATGCTGCTGGCTTAAGCTATAGCAGAACACCTTGGATCATGGCTGCAGAGGCCTCTAAGTGCCTAGATGGCTGAACTCTGGGAAACATTTTCCTCTTCAGCCTAGAAGAGTACAGTGCCATAGGCCTCTCTTCTCAAAGCACTCTTTCATTTTTGTAAGGTGTAGGGTGGGGTTTTGTTGTTTCCCAGTACGCCCTCAAGTCATGTTTCCTGTTGTAGCAATATAAAGTACTTAGCTTCTTTTTAATATTTTAAGCAATCCTGCTTTCCCAGGCACCAACTCTGCAGGCTCTTCCTTTTGTTGAAACTGAAAACTTTTTAAATGGGATTTTTGCTTTCTTTCTTGGTTTCAACCTTATTAAAAACACCACGTACTACACAGCCACAGCCTGAACATGTTTTTAAATAGGAAAACATTTATTGGTACATTTTAGGCATACATAGTGATAACACTCTTCATAGGAAATTTGCACCTGTATATGATATGTTCTGCCTCTTTTTCCTATTCCCCCGTCTCCTGAGGCCCCCTCCCCTCCCTTTGTACAAAATCTTTGTTTGCATTTTTCCCTTCTATTTTTATTTACTTTTTTGGGCCAGGGATTTAGCTGAGTGGTTACATGGCCTGCCTCACAAGCGCAAGGTCCTGAGTTCGATCCCTGGTACCAAAAAAAAACTATTTTTACTTTTTTTCTTGTACCTTCCCTCCCTCCTCCCTTGTTCCCCTTCTCATTTGAACATTTTCTACCCATTTACTGATATCTATTGTACATTTTAGTCCTTATTTTTACTTTTGGTTTCTCACACCAGAGAAACAATGTGATATTTAAACATGTGTGCCTAATTTCTCTTAAGAGTATGGTCTCAAGGTCCATCCACTTAACTAGAAATCTCTGAAGCTTATCTTTCTTTTTTTTTTTTTTTTTGGTACCGGGGATCAAACTCGGGTCCTTGTGCTTGTGCAGCAGGCGGTGAAACCACTGAGCTAAATCCCCGGCCCCAACCTCATCCTTCTTTATGGCAGAGCAGTACTCCATTGTATAAGAAAATAAACACATCTTTAAAAAAATTTAAAATTTAAAAAAATTTTTTTAAAAACCACATCTTGATCCATTTGTCAGTTGATGGGCATTTGGGCTCTTTCCAAGATTTAGGTATTATAAACTGTGCCGCTATTAACATGGGTGTGCATATATCACTGTGGTATGATGCTTTTAATTCTTTTGGGAAGATACCAAGAAAGAGAATGGCTGGGTCAAATAAAACCTCTAGTTTTAATTTTTTGAGAAATTTCCACACTGGTTTCCACAGTGGTTGCACCAGTCTACGCTCCCACCAACAGTGGAGAAGGTTTCCTTTTTCCCCACAGCCCTGCCAACATTTGTTACTGGCCGATTTTTTGATAGCAGCCATTCTTTCTGGAGTGAGATGGAATCTCCAGGTTTTTTAATTTGCGTTTCTCAAATGACTAGTGATATTGAACATTTTTTCAAGTATTTATTTTCTGTTTCTACTTCTTCATCTGAGAAGTGTCTATTCATTTCAGATGCCCATTTTTGCATTGAGTATTTACATTTGAGGGGGTATGCTTTTTTTTGAGTTCTTTATATATTGTAGATATTACTCTGATGAATAGCTGCTAAAAATTTTTTCTCACATTGTGGATTGCTCTTAACTCTGTTGGTAGTTTCTTTACTGTGCAAAAACTTTTTAATATGATAAGATCCCAGTTGTTGATTCTTTGTGATAGTTCCTGTGCAATCAGGGTTTTGTTCATAAAGACTGTGTCTATACCAGTGTCTTCGACAGTCCCACTTAGTCTATCTTCTAGCAGATTAAGTGTATCTGTTTTAATATTTAGATATTTGATCGATTTCAATTTTAGGTTAGTGCCTGTTGAAAAATATGGCTCTAGTTTCAATTTTTGGCATGTAGAAAGCCAGTTTTTCCAACACCATTTATTAAAGAGGCTATTGTTCTTCTAGTGAATGTATTTGGCTCCTTTGCAAAAGATAAGGTGGCTCAGGGCCAGGGATTTAGCTCAGTGGCACCACACCTGTCTGGCAGCTGCAAGGTCCTAAGTTCGATCCCCGGTACCAAAAAAAAAAGATAAGGGGGCTGAGTATATTTGGGGTTGTTTCTGCATCTTCTAATCTTTTCCATTTTTCCTCAGGTCTGTTTTTTTGCCAATCCGTGCTGTTTTTATCACAGTAACTTTGTAATATACTTTCAAGTCAGGGATTGTGATGCTCCCTCCCTAGCCTTTGTTGCTGAGAATTGCCTTTGCTATTCAAGGTTTCTTCTGCTTCCAGATAAATTTTAGAATTCTTTTTTCCTGTTTCCGGCTGCACGAGTCAGGTCATGTGTCAGAGACGCCAAAGTTGAAACTTTTCTTCCCATGCCTGAGGCTGCCCCCCCCCCCCCGGCCCACCCTGGCAGCTCTGCAGCTGTCACCATGCCACAAAATGAATATATTGAATTACACCGTAAATGTTACGGGTATCATTTGGATTACCATGAGAAAAAGAGAAAGGAGGAAATTTGAGCCCATGAACATTCAAAGAAGGCAAAAAAAATGATTGGCCTGAAGGCTAAGCTCTACCATAAACAGCACCATGTCAAGAAAATACAAATGAAGAAGACTATCAAGATGCATGAAAAGAGAAACACCAAACAAAAGAATGATGAAAACTCCTCCTTTTTCTATCTGCTGGATAGAGAGGGACAGTCTTGGCCAAAAGTACTTTCCAACATGATTAAACAAAAACGAAAAGGAAAGGCGGGAAAATGCGAAGTCCCTCTGCCCAAAGTTCGTGCACAGGGAGAGACAGAAGTATTAAAAGTTATTTGAACTGGAAAGAGAAAAAAAGAAGGCATGGAAGAGGATGGTTACTAAAGGCTGCTTTGTTGGAGATGGCTTTACAAGAAAACCACCAAAATACGAAAGGTTCATTAGGCCAATGGGCTTACGTTTCAAGAAGGCCCATGTAACACATCCTGAACTGAAAGCCACCTTTTGCCTGCCAATACTTGGTGTGAAAAAAAAATCTTTCATCACCACTATATACAACTTTGGGTGTTATTACCAAAGGTACAGTGATTGAAGTGAACGTGAGTGAGCTGGGCCTTGTGACACAAGGAGGCAAGGTTATTTGGGGTAAATATACCCAGGTAACCAACAATCCTGTGAATGATGGATGCATCAATGCAGTCTTACTAGTTTGAAAGATGTTTCATACAATAACTTCTTACACTTATTGACGACTACTGTGACCAATCAGGAAAACCACCATTACTGTGAATACTACCACAACTTTCATAACCGCAGTCATCAAGAGAATTATTTATTAAATTGTAAGAACATTAAAATGGCCCAGTTTTACAAATTGGTCTGTTACTTGGGGTCTGCTAAGAGCCTAGTGAGATTGAACTACTGAAAAAGTAAACATCAGTCTTTGCACTAAAGAGTGGGTATTCAGTAACAAAAAAATAAATAAATTTTAGGATTGTTTTTTCTAATTCTGTGAGACATGCTATTGAAATCTTGATTGGGATTACATTAAATCTATATAACAATTTCGGAAGTATGACCATTTTCTTTTTTTTTTCTTTTTTTTTTTTTTAGTATGACCAT